AGCATGGCTGGCTCAGGAATTCTGGGAGTTGAAGTCCACGAGTCATAAAAGAGCCAAGGTTGCCTACCCCTGGGCTAGGAGTATGTTTCAGAGGACCTGAAGTGACTGTAATTGACCTCCTTCTATCTGGCAGCCTGCATTGCATGGCTCTGTGGTGTGGATTGAGGTTGGGCCTATCTACAGGAGGGGGGGGGGAGAGGCCACCACGAAGCCACATCTGTGCTGTTACCAAGAAAACAACACGGGTGTATCCGTGAAGTTGTTCAAGTCCAGCCTGACCTGTGCCAATTTTTGCCTTTGATTAGGGAAGATGATTTCCCACACTTTGGGAGGGGGTGTGGTGATATCCCAAAAGGAAAGATTTATAAAACAATATAAACATATCTAAAGCAATGGGCTTCCTTTAATTTTCTTGGGTTATTTTTTCTGGAGGGGAAGTCTTACAGCCAATATCACATTTGCGCCTTGCTCGGATTTGCCCTCTGACCTCGGGCTGTGGTGGCTTTGTGCTGCTTCCTGGGGTGGGGTGGGGGGGCATCTGGATGGCCACATTCTCAAGCACAAAGGGGAGTGTGCCTTAAAGCCTCCCCCACTCTTGCTGCATTCAGCGGGGGATGGAAATTCACTGCAAGTAGACCGGCATTCAGTCATACACGGGTCTGAGTTTTTTCTTAGAGGAAAAAAAAATTGCCCGTTATTCTAAGAATATATGCCCGGCACTAAAGAGGGGAAAAAAAAAGCCAACCCTTTTGGTTGTTGTGACAAGCAACTAGTTGAATGGTGGGGGGGGGGAGGAGAGAGAGAGGGAGGGGGGAAATATAATTTTGAAATGACATCTGGCTAACCCTTTGCAAAAAAAAAAAAGAAGAAGCCCTTTTACGCTTACTTTCCTCAAGGGATACTTTCGTTTTCCAATATGCTGTGAGTTTCATAAGATCTTGTAGCTAGTGTTGCATCACCTGTCTCTCTGGCCAGGGCTACTTCTGCAAAGTACGAGGCAGGGAGGGGAATGCATACAGCAGTGGCCAAAATTGTGGAAACCTTTCGGGAAAAATGTACAGTAGAAATGCTACCTTTGGTTAAGATTCCACCCATTTTTCTTCTAATTTCTTTATAACTGTAGCCTTGTTCACTACTACTACTACTACTACTACTACTACTACTTCTTCTTCTTCTTCTTCTTCTTCTTCTTCTTCTTCTTCTTCTTCTTCTTCTTCTTCTTCTTCTTCTTCTTCTTCTTTCTCTTCCTCTTCTGCTTCTTCTTCTTCTTCTTCTGCCATATCCGTTATCGGACGTTGGCAATCATGTTGGTGATCCTGTTTTTATCAGCAGCCACATGAAAAAGTGTTGCTGAGTTTTGTCCAAACCAGTCCCTTAGATTTTGAAGCCACGATGTTCTTCTTCTGCCTGGACTTCGTTTGCTTTCAATCTTTCCCTGGAGGATTAAATGGAGTATGCCGTATTGTTCACTTAATAATACTATTTTACATCGCTTTCTGGGCAACCAGTCAATTCTTTGCACCAATATTTTAATTTTATTACGTTTTTCAAGCTCACTAAATGAAAGAACACAAAAAACCTCAACCAACTTGATAGCCATCACATAACACACTGACAAATGCCTCCTCTCAGCTTCAATACAGGACATCAATCACTGAATCCTACTGTGATCTGACTGGCTCATTGCCAAAACAAGATGACACCTGATTGGCTCTCTAAACACTCACACTCATTGGCTACAATTGGATGAAGGAAAGCTACCTGAGATCAACCTAAGCAAGTTGTGCTTCCTTTTTCTGCTTATTTGGCTATACTTTCCATAGAATACAGTACAGATAATTGAACAAACTATGTTGCATTACATTCTTGATTAAATTATCTTTCCATTGATATATAATTTTATGGTACTACTCCCACCAAAAGTGGTGTTATTAGCCATCAAATCTCATAAACACAGTTTTCCCAAAAGGTTTCCACAAGTTTGGCCACTACTGTAAGTGCCCAGAGAAAACACACAGCTCTGAAATATTGCTTGGAACAGAAGGCAGGTGAGCCTCCAGACGGGGCTACCAGCCAGCAAAAACTATGGACACGCTTTCTCTCTTTTCCTTCTGGATTCTGGCTCTTTTCAGACCAGGATTTTAGCGCACACTTGCCTTGAATTGCAATGCCGGAGAAAATTAATGGAGAACTCTAGGACCACAAGAAGAAAAAATGATCCAGTACTAGTAAAAGTAAAACCAGGTTGCCAACAGGAAGCACTAACAAGGAAGGCAAAGGCTTAGCTAATTTGGGCACATCGTGCAAAGACAAAAGAGCCCTTGGTGGCACAGTGTGTTAGAATGCAGTATTGCAGGCTAAATTCTGCCGACTGCCGACAGTTTCAGCAGTTCGATCCTCTCTGGCTCAAGCTTGACTCAGCCTTCCATTTTTTCTGAGGTAAAATGAGGACCCAGATTGTTAGGGGCAAATATGCTGACTCTGTAAACTGCTTAGAGAGGGCTGTAAGCAGTGTGAAGCGGTATATAAGTCTACGTGCCATTGCAGGGGTCCTCAAACTTGGCCACTTTAAGACTTGTGGACTTCAACTCCCAGAATTCCCCAGCCAGCCATGCTGGCTGGGGAATTCTGGAAGCTGAAGTCCACAAGTCTTAAAATGGCCGAGTTTGAGGACCCCTGTGCTATTGCTATTGCTTGGGGGAATAGAGGATCCTTGAAAAAGAAGCTGACGAGATCAGAGGACCACATGGCATCATTGATGAACAAGCAAAACCTTGCAAGAACACAAAGAAGTGACGGTTAATAGACAATTCTGATGAAATCATGTCCACTGAGTAGCCAGAGATCTTTGCCCAAGTGCCTCACGACACGAAACTAGCCTGTCATCTTCATCAGACACTTCACATCCAGCCAAATGAGTTGACAAACAGGTTTTTCAGCTACAAAATATAAATGGGCTTCTGGGGGGGAGGGGAGGGTAGCATTTCAAGACAATTACTGAGAGGATTCTTTGACGAACCAGCTTGTTAAATATTAAATATCAAAGTTGTAAATTACTGTAGCGGCTTTATATAAGTAAATTAAATCCAAACAACATCTCATTTTCTTGATCACTGACTGTAATCCTCCAGGAACGCGTGTTATTAACTCAGCGACTAATAGCAGAGAAAGTGGAAGACTTCAAAAAAAAAAAAAAGCTTGGGGATATTAAATTTTAATCCTCAGAAAAATCTTCAAGCGGGGTGTCGCAGCCCTGTACTGGCAGCTGGTGCTCAACAGCATCTTTACCAAATTCCTAAATAGCAACCGTGGTCCCCTGCCCACACCTTAATTTAATGAAATATTTACTTCTGTAGAAGGGATGAAGAACGTGAGATCTCTGCAGCCCAGTGTGGATGGGGAGGAGTAGAAAAAAAAGGGAGGAGGAAAATAAGAAGGGAATCATCAGCACCACCTGGAAGTGGGGCTCCGCTACAAATTTAGATGTGTGCCACCCACTGCTCAGTTCTGCTTCTCTCCCACCTCCCCCCCCCCGTTCCCTAGATAGGTTCTCTGTCTTCACATGGGCAGGTTACAGATGGCATATACCAGTGGTGGCGAACCTATGGCACGGGTGCCAGAGGTAGCACTCAGAGCCCTCTCTGTGGGCACGCACGCCATCGCCCCAGTCCTAGGCCTTCAGCTGGGTTTTATAAAACCTTTTCAATTTAGGCCTCTGCCGCCGTGTGAAAAAAAAAAAAGGTTCAATCAATGAGTCAATTTCAACTTCTCACAGGAAAAAAAAAAAGATCTTGCAAAGTTGGAATTGATTGATTGAACTTTTTAGTCCCACCCAGTCTGCCGTTACCACCGCAGCCACACCCAGCCAAGTGGCCACACCCAGCCAATGGGCCACACCCACCCGGCACCCGACAATGCATAAGTGGGTTTGGGGTTGCAGTTTGGGCACTCGGTCTCTAAAAGTTTCGCCATCACTGGCATATACAGTAGGGGCCAAAATTGTGGAAACCTTTTGGGAAAAGTGTATTTTTCAGGTTTGATGGCTAACAATGGAGTAGCACTGTAAAAGTATATATCAATGGAAAGATAATTTAATCAAGAATGTAATGCAACAAAGTTTGTTCAATTACCTGTACTGTATTCTATGAACGGTTACCAAAGTCCACCAAGTCATTTTACTCTTAAGAGCAAAAGTGGGATCCGACATCAAGCGAGCGCCTGGACAGGCTGTGAGTCCCAAACCCAACTTTGTGTCATCTGTTGGTCACTTCCAGAGTGGGTCTTCTCCATGTTTAGGACCCAGAGTTGCACCGGGGGGGGGGGCTGTCCGGCTGCTCTCTGGAGCGCTTAACCAAATCTCTCCAGGCCTCCCTCGTGGGCAGAAGGCACCAAAGCGCCAGCAGCACCATCGGGCAGAGAAGAAGAGTTTCTTTCTGGGAAAGGGAGGGAAAGAGAGAAGGGAGGGAAGGAAGGAAGGAGGGAGGGAGGAAGAGAAGACCAAGAACTGGCCAGGGGCCTTGCGCCCACATTCGCGTCGCCTTTCGCCACAAGCCAAAGTTACGCGCGCGCGCGTTGGTGAGATCCCCGAAGGCTTCCCGGACCCTCCTGCCTGTCTGGTTGCCCTTTTCGTGGGGGGAGTCACCCGAGGCGAAGCCCTGGCAAGCCCCTAAGGGGGACCTGGCTGGCCGGGATGTTGCATTGGAGGGGAGACCCCCTCCCCAGCGGAGCCACAGCCCGCCCGACGGGGCTGGGAACCTGGCCGCTCCTTGCAGCCCTGGCGCGCTGGAGGGGCAGTGGGAAAACCCCCCTCCCCCGCCTCCGGCCGTCTGGCTCAGCTTGTCCTCTCCGCCCCCGTCTCTCCCCCCCCCCCCGTCCCCTTGCAGGAAGCCCGGGGAAGGGAGGGAGGGGGGAGGGAGGGACGAGGAGGCCGGGCATTCTTCTGCGCGCCGCGGGACCCTCTGCGGAGAGAGAGAGGAGTCGTGGCCGGCCGGGCCGAGAGGATGGAGGCGCTGGTGCTGCTGAACGCGCTGGCCACCCGGCTGCTCTTCGCCCTGCATGCGCTGCTGGGCGTCTGGCGGGTGACCGAGGCGACCAAGGAGCGCAAGTACTGGCTGTTGGCTCTGCTGAACCTCTCGCTGTGCCTGGAAGCGGCGCTCACGCTCAAGCTGAAGCGGGGAAGAGGCTACAAATGGTGAGCCAGCGTTGCCAGGTCCCGCCGGGGCTCCAGTTCTTTGTCTTCTCTTGGCTTCCTCCCTCTTTCTTTCCTTCCTTCCTTTCTTTCTTTCCCTCCCTGCGGGCTTTCCCAGAGAGAAACTCTTCTTCTCTGCCCGATGGTGCTGCTGGCGCTTTGGTGACTTCTGCCCACGAGGGAGGCCTGGTTAAGCGCTCTGGAGAGCAGCCGGACAGCCTCCCCCCTCCCCGGTGCAACTCTGGGTCCTAAACGTGGAGAAGACCCTCTCTGGAAGTGACCCAACAGGTGACACAAAGTGTGGGTTTGGGGCTCACAGCCTGTTCCGGGTGCTCGCTTGATGTCGGATCCCACTTTTGCTCTTAGAGTAAAATGACTTGGTGGACTTTGCTAACCAGCCACTCCCCCTCCCAGCTTCTCCCTGGTTGAAGGAGCTTGGTCTGGGACTGAACTTCTCTGGTTCTGGGGTGGTGAGAAGCAGCAGGAGTTGAAAAGACAGAGGCCTCTTCAGCAGAACCAGGCTGTGCTCAGCTGGAGGATGGTGGCTTCAGACACCAGTTTTTTGGCTTCCATTTAAAAAAAAAAAATGAATGAGTGAGCGAATGAATGAATGCATGAGCGGATGAATGAACTGGTGAGTCACAAGAAGGACCCTTATTTCACATTATAATGGGGGCCCTGTTGGAGACTTCCAACAGAACAGCGGCAAGTCAGTTTCTCAACTCAAACCACACGTAGCACGAGATCCGCCATTGAAGGAGAAATGACAACATATTTGTTAATTGAGTGCCCAGCGGATGATCAGATTGCAACCTTCTGCTGGCCAGAATTTTGCATGGAGAGACCCCCAGCTTGGAGAGGTTGGTGCTAAACACTGAGGGCAGTTTCCACCTCTCTCGAAGGGATATAGCTTGACAATGTTCATAAAAAGAAAAGCCACCTAGTTTTAAGTCACAGCTGCAAAGCCATCTCTGGAGACATTAATGCCTCTGCAGATGGCAAAACTGTGCCGATAAAAAACAGGACAGGAGAAGAAAAAAGAGGAGCGGAAAAGTGACCCATTTCCCCCCCCCCCCAAATGGGGGAAGATTCTTGACTTCTGATTTCATCGGCATCAAGACTTGTAGTCCTTCTGAAACTCTGGTTCAGCTTTTCAGTTAGGAAAAGGATCACATGGTCTCTGCAAGGAGAACAAAGGTGTCCTTTCAGGATGGGAGGCAGATGGGCTACACGGCTTCCTGTTTTCAAACTTACCCACCTCTGCATACTGAAAGTCTGTTCTCATATGTGGGACTGCTATTTCCATAAACTTTCTTCTTCTTCTTGTGCCATATCTGTTATCGGACGATGGCGATCATGTTGGCGATCCTGTTTTTATCAGCAGCCGCACAAAAAAGTGCTGCTGAGTTTTGTCCAAACCAGTCCCTTAGATTTTGAAGCCACGATGTTCTTCTTCTGCCTGGACTTCATTTGCCTTCAATCTTTCCCTGGAGGATTCAATGGAGTATGCCGTATTTTCCTGGGTGTCGTATCACGTGTCCGAAATAGTCTAATTTTCATTTTTTAAATTGTTTTGATGATTTCCCTGGGCTTTCCCAGGCGGCTTATCACCTCCTCATTTCTGATCTTGTCAACCCAGCTTATACGTAACAGCCACCTGTCAATCCACATTTCAAAGGCTTCTAGTCTCATCAGGTGGCCTTCTGTTAGAGATCAACTCTCTACTCCACAGAGCAGGGTTCTCAAAACTCACAAGACCGCAGGCCTCTGAAATGATAAATGGATCCACTTCTTTCTCCTCCCCGGGCCAAACCAATTAATGATTTGTGTGGGGCTCTGAGGGGACAAGAACCAAATGTGTTATCTCCAGCTGATGTCTCGTCTTTGCAGAACAGCCCCCATCCCTTGGCTTAGGCAGAATGGACAGGGAGCAAAGGCCAAGGTAGCTTTGACCGTTCTCCCACTTTGCCTGGGCAGCCCTAGTTAAACCTGACCCCCTGCTCTAGACCAGCCTATTAGGTAGACATGCCAAAGGCATCTGTGCTTTGCTTCATTCCTGCGGGTTAGGCCTGCATCACACGAAAGTCATCTCCAAGAGGTGTTCCTTGTTATGTACAGGTTTTCCTTGGTTTTGACGGTGTTCAATTCAGCAAGAAAAACCAAATGTACAGGTATAGTATAGGGGGTACCTTGCTCAATAGTAGTAACTGTGAGAGGGATCTCGGAGTCCTAGTGGACAATCACTTAAATATGAGCCAGCCGTGTGCTGCAGCTGCCAAAAAAGCCAACACAGTTCTGGGCTGCATTAACAGAGGGATAGAATCAAGATCACGTGAAGTGTTAATACCACTTTACAAGGCCTTGGTAAGGCCACACTTGGAATACGGCATCCAGTTTTGGTCACCACGGTGTAAAAAGATGTTGAGACTCTAGAAAGAGTACAGAGAAGAGCAACAAAGATGATTAGGGGACTAGAGACTAAAACATATAAGGAACGGTTGCTGGAATTGGGTATGTCTAGTTTAACGAAGAGAAGGACGAGGGGGGACATGATAGCAGTGTTTTAATATCTCAGGGGCTGCCACAAAGAAGAGGGAGTCAAGCTATTTTCCAAGGCGCCTGAAGGCAGGACGAGAAGCAACGGATGGAAACTAATCAAGGAGAGAAGCAACCTAGAACTAAGGAGAAATTTCCTGACAGTGAGAACAATTAACCAATGGAACAACCTGCCTCCAGAAGCGGTGAATGCTCCAACACTGGAAGTTTTTAAGAAGAGACTGGACAGCCATTTGTCTGAAATGGTATAGGGTTTCCTGCCTGAGCAGGGGGTTGGACTCGATGACCTCCAAGGTCCCTTCCAACTTTTATTATTATTATTATTATTATTATTATTATTATTATTATTATTATTATTATTATTATTATTATTATTATTATTATTATTATTATTATTATTATTATTATTAGTGGAGAAAGTCTTATGACGGTTCTGCTGATGGAGCTCCTGGGTAAAGTCTTGTCTCTGTCTCCTCTGTGATCCAGACTTAAGGAGCAACCCTGATGAATGGAAGGGATCCATTTCTTCTCTGCCCCCTCCCCCAGACCGAATGCCTCTGCTTTATGGGGAGAGGCCCATGTGTGAGCAGGATGGGGAGCCTTCAGAGATGCCCTCAATCTTTTTTGTGATTGTCCTTTGAACAGCAGCTAGCCACCCAGGTCAGGAACTGGCATGCTTCTGACGAAAAATGGGCCCTTCGGTGCATTTTTCTCCACTTCTCTCACTGGTGATGCAGGTTCATTTCAAAACTCAAATCCCAGCATCCTGCTGTCTGTCCACCAAGAAGCCTTTGAATTCCAACCAATTATACAGGTTCTTTCTATTCCTTCTATTTGAAAATGTATTCTACTCTTTTGTTGGAGAAAAGCTTCAGAGTTCTTGGATTTGTATCTGGGCTGACATCTTTGAAGTTTAAATTCAAACTGTTCCAATAAACAATTAAGTATTTAAGTATTTAAGGATCATCTACCAAGTATGCCTTTTATTCAGCTGTTAAACTGAGGGCTTGAGAAATCATTGAGATTATCTTGGACAACCAGAATAATCAACAGTCAGTGCCAGATGGTGCAAAGCCGAGCTGTTTAATGGAAGTTAAAGCTGAGATATTTTGGATAGGGAATTGTATTTATTCATTCAGTGTATTTATTTATTAAACACATTCGCAGAGCCACCCATCTCCCCCCCCCAAAAGGAGACTTTGGATGTCACACAATAGCCGGTATGAAACTGATAAAAATCTAAAAAGTTGCAGTAATAAATAGCACAATGACAAAATCCTGGGTGGAGGGAGGATAAAAATGGCTCCCTCAGCATGGACTCCTCAGACAGATCTCCTGTTGGTTGGACGTTCCACGATGATAGTTGAGGCTCACAACAATCCAAAGGTGAGAACGGAGAAGATGTTTAATGGATTCAGAGGCAGTCAAGAAAGAGGCTGGGAAGAACACAGTGACCAGACAGCCTGCCTAGGGACAAGCAGGTGACCCCAAGCACTCAGGGTGCTGTTACAGACATAGTTTTGACCAAGTCCCAAGTCAGAAATGACTGAATGTCTGAACATCAACCAGGAGATACAACCAGGAGATACAACCTTTGAATTGTATCTCCTCTGCAAAATACCATCTTGTATAACAAGAGTCAGGGCTGAAGGGTCAACCTGAAGCACAGAGGTCTGGATATGGACCACTGGTCGGCAGATATCACCCAGAGAAAGAGGTCCTTCCCATAGCCATCTCAGCCATCTTGGAAGCAGGGTGTACCCAAGTGTCTAGGAAGACATCTTTTTTTCGTAAAAGCAATTCCTGTCCTTTCGGATGCCGCCTATATTTCATCCTTCCGTCACAGGCTGGCGTTGCTCTATCACCTGTGGTCATGGACCATCCTTTTCCTTGTGGCCCTTCCTTCCTTCCTTCCTTCCTTCCTTCCTTCCTTCCTTCCTTCCTTCCTTCCTTCCTTCTCTGCACCCTCTAACTTTGCTGCTAAATTACAGTAGTGGCCAAAATTGTGGAAACATTTTTGGGAAAAGTGTACATTTGTACACTTTTTTGGGGGAGTAGTACCACAAAATTATATATCAATGGGAAGATAATTTAATCAAGAATGTAATGCAACATAGTTTGTTCAATTATCTGCACTGTATTCTATGAAAAGTTATAGCCAAATAACCAGAAAAACGAAGCACTACTTGCTTAGGTTAATCTCAGGTAGCTTTCCTTCATCTGATGGTAGCCAATGAGCGTGAGTGTTTAGAGAGCCAATCAGGTGTCATCTTGTTTTGGCAATGAGCCAATCAGATCACAGTAGGAGTCAGTTATTGATGTCCTGTATTGAAGCTGAGAGGAAGACGTTTGTCAGTGTGTTATGTGATGGCTATCAAGTTGGTTGGGGTTTTTTTGTGTTCTTTCATTTAGTGAGCTTGCAAAACGTAATAAAATTAAAGTCATGGTGCAAAGAGTTGACCAGTTGCCCAGAAAGCGATGTAAAATAGTATTTATTAAGTGAACAAGGCTACAGTTATAAAGAAATTAGAAGAAAAAATGGTGGAAACTTAACCAAAGGTGGCATTTCTACTGTACACTTTCCCCAAAAGGTTTCCACAATTTTGGCCACTACTGTATAGTTTTAAACATGACTGGAAGAGGAATCATTGCAGCAACAGATAATTACTTAACTTGATCATCATGGGGCTTGTTATATCCTACAGTGGCCTCCTGAAGTCCCAATTGATACCAGTTACGGGCATCCATGAAAATGGGGTAATGGGAGGCATGTGGCATCATGACATCGTTGTGCCATGTCATTCGCGCAGTCAAGGATGTCCTATCATTGGGGCTCCTTTAGAGGTCCTTGATTCTTGCTGATCACATGGACCTCGCCCCGCTGTTTTGCTGAGATCTGTATTTCTTCCAGAGTATTTCTTCAATCCCCGTTGAGCTTTCCCTCTTCCAAAAGTCTTGCTTGCCTTTTTGAGGCAACCAAGGCCAGTAGATGCTGGGACCGGCCTGTTCAATTCCCAGGCAGGTTAGTCTACGTGCCTCCTCTCCCCCACTCAGCACTTCACAGCAATATAAAACAACCATGACGTTATTTCTGGTCCCCTCCTTAATAAAAAGGCTGGAAGGTGGTGCTACAGTCACTTTTAATGAGGATCCTGGAGGGAGGAACTGCAGAGCCTGGCCAAAAATGTTTTCACGAGGCACTTCCTCCTTCTCCTCTCGAAGAATCAGCGAGAGAAGAGAAGCCCGTTGGTGAAAGATGCCTGTTTAGTAGATCAGCTTCGCTTGCAGCCAGCTGGACGGGGTTGAGGAGGCAGAAACCCTGGTGGGGCTCAGCCTCCAGGCCAGCCTCCGTCATGCAGCTTTCAAAGTGTCCCCCACCCTCCACAATCTTCCATGATTCCACACCTGATTTACAGTAGTGGCCAAAATTGTGGAAACCTTTTGGGAAAAGTGTACAGTAGAAATGCCACCTTTGGTTAAGTTTCCACCCCTTTTTCTTCTCATTTCTTTATAACTGTAGCCTTGGTCACTTAATAAATACTATTTTACATCGCTTTCTGGGCAACCAGTCAACTCTTTACACCATGACTTTAATTTTACTGCGTTTTACAAGCTCACTAAATGAAAGAACACAAAAAAACCCCAACCAACTTGATAGTGATCACATAACACACTGATAAATGTCCTCTTCTCAGCTTCAATACAGGACATCAATCACTGACTCCTACTGTGATCTGATTGGCTCATTGCCAAAACAAGATGACACCCGATTGGCTCTCTAAACATTCACACTCATTGGCTACAATCAGATGAAGGAAAGCTACCTGAGATCAACCTAAGCAAGTTGTGCTTCCTTTTTCTGGTGATTTGGCTATAACGTTTCAGAAAATACAGTGCAGATAATTGAACAAACTATGTTGCATTACATTCTTGATTAAATTATCTCTCCATTGATATATAATTTTATGGTACTACTCGCCCTCAAAAGTGGTGTCATTAGCCATCAAACCTCAAAGATACACTTTTCCCAAAAGGTTTCCACAATTTTGGCCACTACAGCAGCCAGACGGAAACTTGTCTGTGTTACCGTTTTCTCACTGAAAAGGCTGGGTAGGAAATCTCTATGTAGAGAGTTGTAAATTCTCCTCCCTTTGGTCTTCTCCTCTTTCTTGCTTTTCTAGAAAAGAAGAAGGATGAGGAATCCCACAAATAAAAGCTCTGGGACCCTCCAGAGGGGCATTTCAGACTTTGAAACCACAAGTTGCAATCTGGGAGTCCATATGTCGCCTCTAATTCCTGAGCATCCCCCCCACCCTTGGACCAGCCCCTTCCTGACATGCAGCTAGGGCAGGGATAGGCCACCTTGGTTCTTTTCTGACTCATGGACTTCAACTCCCAGAATTCCTGAGCCAGCCACGCTGAGGGGAAAGGGAGAGGCTTCCAAGCTGAGCCGTGCTGGCTCAGGAATTCTGGGAGTTGAAGTCCACGAGTCATCAAAGAGCCAAGGTGGCCTACCCCTGAGCTAGGGAGCCAGCTTGCTTTCGGTTCCTCTGCTCCTGTCTTCTGGAGGATGAAGGAAGGATCCTGTCTCACTCGGAAGAACAGGCAGGCCTGCTGCTTTGGAAGTGCTGCAAAGGGTGGGGCGAAGGCGAGCGAGGGGGCATTCATCCAGTCTAAACTCTGCCTCCCTTTGCAAAAGTTGAGGGCCCTGGAAGCAATGCATAAGCCAGGGAGGGGGGACCAGTGGATTTTCTCTTCCCTCTGTTCCTTCTGCAAAGGGTCTCCAAAGAGTTTGGGTGGTCAACGTGTTTGTGGTTTCAATTGCAGGCCGTGGAAGAGGTGAGAGTCAACTACTCACCGCCTATTTCCAGCTGACAAAATGGTCCCACAGCTCCATTCAAAAAGCCCACAGCCAGCCCCATTGCAGCTCCCTTTTCTTCCGAGAAAACGTGGAATTGCCATTTATTTTCTAAGCAAGCCACCGGGTCCTCTGGAGAGCTGGAAGTCCCAAGGTTTTACTGGCTGCCTCTGTTCTTGCCGCTTTGCTGCCTGCCGGTTTCCAAGAGAAGCTTTTTAAAAATTCAGCCGGGTGACGGGAAATCTAGCGGACGCCAGCTGTGGGCATAATGTCCACATCTGCCTCAGGGCACTGGAAACCCCGCTTATTCCTTCAGTGTTTTGATGGTGAATTCTGTCACGGTTTCTCAGTGTGCTAAACCCAACACTTTTTGTCCTTTCTCAGGTTTTCACCCCCGATCTTTCTCTATCTCATCAGCATAGTGCCCTCGTTGTGGATTCTGGAACTCCAGCCTAAAAATCAGGTACTGGTTCTGTGGTTTCTTACTATACGTGATGGAGAAGGAGGGAAACTGTTTGCTTGGGCAAAGATAACCGAGCAGCCTGGAAGCCAATTTGGGCATCAGTTACTGTATTTTTATATCCTGAATTCAAGAAGCAGCTTCCTCTGGGCTTTCTACCTGAGGTATGGAATCATTTATAATAATAATAATAATAATAATAATAATAATAATAATAATAATAATAATAATAATAATAATAATAATAATAACAACAACAACAACAACAACAACAACAACAACAACAACAACAACAACAACAACAACAACAATAAAGTTGGAAGGGACCTTGGTGGTCATCTAGTCCAACCACCTGCTCAGGCAGGAAACTCTATACCATTTCGGACAAATGGCTGTCCAGTCTCTTCTTAAAAACTTCCAGTGTTGGAGCATTCACCACTTCTGGAGGCAGGTTGTTCCGCTGGTTAATTGTTCTAACGGTCAGGAAGTAGTTCTAGATTGCTTCTCTCCTTGGTTAGTTTCCATCCGTTGCTTCTTGTCCTGCCTTCAGGTGCTTTGGAGAATAGCTTGTCTCCCTCTTCTTTGGGGCAGCCCCTGAGATATTGGAAGACTGCTATCATGTCCCCCCTCGTCCTTCTCTTCATTAGACTAGACATATCCAATTCCAGCAGCCGTTCCTTATATGTTTTAGCCTCCAGTCCCCTAATCATCTTTGTTGCTCTTCTCTGTACTCTTTCTAGAGTCTTAGAATTAGGCAACGATACAACACCGACATTTCCTGGTGCACCTTGAAGGATGTGAGTTGTAAACGCCCCACATCAGCCCCCTGGCTGAATAAAGGCCACCAAGAAAGGGGAGATTATGCAGATGTGGTCCATTTGTGTGATGGTTCTAGTTGCACAATTCAGTTTTTGTTAGACTGGATCAGGGGTAGGCCACCTTGGCTCTTTTATGACTCATGGACTTCAACTCCCAGAATTCCTGAGCCGGCATGGCTCAGCTTGGAAACCTCTCCCTTTCCCCTCAGCATGGCTGGCTCAGGAATTCTGGGAGTTGAAGTCCACGAGTCATAAAAGAGCCAAGGTGGCCTACCCCTGGACTGGATGGTTCTTTTTTAGTTGCTTTATTAGACACAGCCTTGGTTCTAAAAGTTGCACAAATATATCCAGATGCATCATCTGGGTTTTCCTCCTGTGAGAGAAACAAGTTTGGCCTTAGCAATCGCAAAAACAGACACCTTCTTTTCTCACGCAGAAAGAATTGAAAAGTATAGCAAACTAGGAAGACTTTGAGCTTCCTTGTAGCAGGTCATCCATTCTCACCCTCTGAGATTTCAGCGAGTGAGATGCTCGTGCACGGTCCTTTGTTAGATTACCTTTAAAGGGGGCATTTTGTGTTTCATTTGCATTTCTCCTGCTGCCGTTTTAGTACAGCACCAATTAAATGAATGTCCCCAAGTCATGGTTCATTGGCATTTCACACTCAATACAGCAGTTGCATCAAAGTAGGACTGTGCAATTGTATAACATTAGCTTAATATTCTGACCAATTCACTGTAGCCACACAGGAGAATTATGGCACAATCCAAAGATTGTCCAGTTGTTTTCGCTGTGCTACATCTTCCTGGCATAAGTGAGCCATGCAGGTCCTGTGTACAGTAGTGGCCAAAATTGTGGAAACCTTTTGGGAAAAGTGTATTTTTGAGGTTTGATGGCTAATAACACCATTTTTGGGGGGAGGAGTAGTACCCTAAAATTGTATATCAATGGAAAGATAATTTAATCAAGAACTTAATGCAACATAGTTTGTTCAATTATCTGTACTGTATTCTATGAAAAGTTATAGCCAAATAACCGGAAAAAGGAAGCATAACTTGCTTAGGTTGATATCAGGTAGCTTTACTTCATCTGAGCATGAGACAGAGAGAGAGAGAGAGAGAGAGAGAGAGTGAGAGAGAGAGAGAGAGAGAGAGAGACAGAGACAGAGACAGAGACAGAGACAGAGACAGAGACAGAGAGACAGAGGGACAGAGAGAGACAGAGATGCTTTCTGCTGCTTCCTGCTGAGATACAGCAAAGGCAGGAGTCCTGCCCAATAAGCTTGTCAGCTTGTCCAAGAACAGTATGAGGTCACTCTCTTTTTTACACACACACACACACACACACACACACACACACACACACACACACACACACAGAGAGAGAGAGAGAGAGAGAGAGAGAGAGAGAGAGAGAGATGCTTTCTGCTTTCTGCTGTTTCCTGCTTCCTGCTGAGATGCAGCAAAGGCAGGAGCCGTGCCCAATAAGCTTGTCAGCTTGTCCGAGAACAGCATGAGGTCACTCTCTTTTTTACACCCACCCACACACACCCACACACACACCCAGAGAGAGAGAGAGAGAGAGAGAGAGAGAGAGAGAGAGAGAGAGAGAGAGAGAGAGAGAGAGAGAGAGAGAGAGAGAGAGAGAGAAGGGAAGCGCAAGTGCCTCTCTCTGTCTCTGTCTCTGTCTCTCTCTGCAAATGGCGGAGGAGGCTGGGAGCCGCAAGAGAAGGCTCAAAGAGCCACCTGCGGCTCCGGAGCCACGGGTTGCCGACCCGTGGTCTAGCTGATCTGAATCGCTTCTCCCTGGATTCCCACTGCATCTTCTTCCTCGCTAGGCTCCCTCGCTGCTTTAACCCCACATGGATTGTCCACAGCAAGGGGGCACCTCCAAGGCTTTGGGGAACCAGTGAACTGTCAAGGGGGAATCTTTGGAGCCCTCCCATATCATGTCTGTGTAGGACCAGAGCTGAAGCTGGGTTTTCATTGCAGCTTTGTCCCAACGAATACGAGCAGCTTGTGAAGAACCACAGTGAAAAAGCCAGACCTGGTTACGGATATGAAACCACAGCAAACAACATAATGGAAAAGGTAAATATGGAGGTGGTAGTTGATATCTCATAATCACCATTTGGATTTTTTTTTTTTTGAGTTAAAATATATTTCCACAGCAACAACAGCCTTGGGGGAGCAGCAAGGAAATAGAATTACACCCGTGTGGTCTCAGAGATCCTAGATGGGATTAAAACCATGACCACATTATGCCTGCCCAACAAGGAGCACTGAAACGATAAATATCTTTTTCAATAAAAGCAAAACCAGGTTCGGGAGAGCCAGCAGTGTAAGAACGAATAGATAATTTCCTCTGGCAATTGGGGGAGTGTAGAGATAGGGGCCAGGTAGAGGTCGTGAGCAGCAAACTGCCCTTCCAATGCCTGCGGGCCTCTTCTCTCTACATGATCTCATCCATTCACATCACCATGGCAATGTGGGAAACTACCCCAGGCTGGTACATGATATCACCTGGTTCACATGATATCAGCTAGGTTACATCAACAGGATGTAGTAGAAAACTGCTCCCTGTCTGGGGCCTCCTGGCTGGTATATTCTTAAGGATTGGCAAGGGGTTTCACCAATAGAAATGCTATGCTGATGCCATCTTACTTTATGCTATTTGGAATACCTGAACAAAAGGGAATAAACACTGCGAAGGCAGTCCGCCATATTTGCACCCTGCAATGACTGAGCACTGATTACTACAGGGGAGATGGGGAAAAAAGAGTCTCTTGGATTCAATCCCCCCCCTAGGTGTGCAAGGTGTGCAAGGAACAGAAGCCCTTTCTCCAAAGAGACCCCCCCCTCCCTGCCTCCTCTGCCCTCGCTTTTCTACTTTCTGACCTTTGCTTTTGCTGCAGCTGCAACAGGCCCAGGAGTTTGTCAACACGCTCTCCAAAATGTGCGAGCCCATCTGGACGCTGAGCCTCCACCAGACCTTCCTCCTGCTCCTCATCCTGGGCCGCTGGCTGCTTCCCATCGGCGGGGAGATCACCAGGGACCAGCTGTCTCAGCTGCTGCTGCTCTTCGTGGGCACCGCCGCAGACATCCTTGAGTTCACCAGTGAAACCCTGGAAATAGAGAACGTCCGGTAGGGCTCGGGTGCTCTCGGCTCTGCAGCTGCACCCACAATGGAGGAGGCAGCCTGTCCTTCCATCCTTCTGTCTAGCTCAGGGGTAGGCAACCTTGGCTCTTTTATGACTTGTGGACTTCAGCTCCCAGAATTCCTGAGCCGGCATGGCTCACCTTGGAAACCTCTCCCTTTCCCCTCAGCGTGGCTGGCTCAGGAATTCTGGGAGTTGAAGTCCACGAGTCATAAAAGAGCCAAGGTTGCCTACCTCTGGCCTAGGCCTAGGCCGCTTTATGACTCGTGGACTTCAACTCCCAGAATTCCTGAGCCAGCCATGGCTCAGCTTGGAAACCTCTCCCTTTCCCCTCAGCATGGCTGGCTCAGGATTTCTGGGAGTTGAAGTCCACGAGTTATAAAAGAGCCAGGGTTGCCTACTCCTGGTCTAGCTGTTGCCTGCTGCCCCACTATCCGATTTTCCTTATACCTGCAATGCTTGTGAATAAGCCAGAATGATAGGATGGTGAATTTAACTGTTTCAAAGGCTTGTAAAAGATGAACTCTTTATTCTGATTAAAAAGGCAGCGGTATTTTTCTATTACTCTCAAAGGAAATATTCTGCCATCACTGGACCTTGTTAGCTCTAGTCAAAGTGGGGGATGCCTCACCCTTTTTCAAAAAGCGGTGCCCTAAAACTGGTTTTTAACTCATTTAAATGTGTGTACATTCAAGGCAATAAAACAAGTTAAAATACAGAGATACAGAGATAATTTATTCTCCAATAGATGGGAAGTTTCGTTTTCTGAAGCTTGGTCTGCTATTATAAAATGGATGATTTAGTACAGTAAAATAACTTTAAACTTATTTCCTTCACCCAGTTTCATTATTTCCAACCCACAATATTCCCTCACTCCCATTTTATGAATTCTTCTTCTTCTTGTGCCATATCTGTTATCGGACGTTGGCGATCACGTTGGCGATCCTTTTTTTATCAACAGCCGCACGAAAAAGTGCTGCTGAGTTTTGTCCAAACCAATCCGTTAGATTTTGAAGCCACGATGTTCTTCTTCTGCCTGGACCTCGTTTGCCTTCAATCTTTCCCTGGAGGATTAAATGGAGTATGCTGTATTTTTCTGGGTGTCGCATCACATGTCCGAAATATTCTAATTTTCGTTTTTTAATTGTTTTGATGATTTCCCTTGGCTTTCCCAGGCGGCTTATCACCTCCTCATTTCTGATCTTGTCAACCCAGCTTATACGTAACAGCCGCCTGTAAATCCACATTTCAAATGCTTCTAGTCTCTTCAGGTGGCCTTCTGTCAGGGACCAACTCTCTCCTCCATAGAGCAGGATAGAAAAAAAATATAGCATCTGACAAGCCTGATTTTCAGTCTTAGGCTTATGTTGTGACTGCAGAAGACCTTTTTCATTTTAAAGAATGCTGTTCGAGCTTTCTCTATCCTTGTCTTTACTTCAGTGGTCATGTCCCATGTCCCAGTGGTCATGTTCCATAATTTATGAATTATAGAAACGAATTCTAGTTTTCCATTGTTGGAGACCTCCTTAATCCAACCAATGTGTCTGGCGTAATTATGCCAGTGCCTTGTCTCTAAAATGCTTGCCTTTCCTTTTTCCAGGAACAAGGATGCTCTGGTATATGTCATTCTAGCCGTGTGGACCTGGAGCATGTTGCAATTCCCTCTGGATCTAGCAGGTTGGTCCTGTCAGTGTTTCCCCAGGATTGTGCTCAGGCTCATATGATGCTCTCTTCCTCCTCCTCAGAAGCTGCTTCAGCTGGCTTTCCTTGGGCTGGTCCCTCCAGGGTGGAACTGTGGAAAGGCCAGTCTGAAGGCCCAGACAGGTGAGGCATCATTGTGAAAGAAAGAAGGAGAGACCCTTGGACAGATGCAGGGACGGCCAAGGAGGCGGATTTGAGAGGCTGGAATGTCTTATGAGGAAATAGATCCATCTTTAACTATAAATAGATGATAGATAGATGATAGATAGATAGATAGATAGATAGATAGATAGATAGATAGATAGATAGATAGATAGATAGATAGATTAGATAGATAGATAGATAGATAGATAGATAGATAGATAGATAGATAGATAGATAGATAGATAGATAGATGATAGATAGATGGGTGGGTGGGTAGGTGGATGGATGGATGGGTAGGTAGGTAGGTAGGTAGGTAGGTAGGTAGGTAGGTAGATAGATAGATAGATAGATAGATAGATAGATAGATGACGGGTGGGTGGATGGGTAGGTAGGTAGATAGATGATGTGTGGGTGGGTGGGTAGGTAGGTAGGTAGGTAGGTAGGTAGGTAGGTAGATAGATAGATAGATAGATAGATATAGATAGATAGATAGATAGATAGATAGATAGATAGATAGATAGATAGATAGATAGATAGATAGATAGATAGATAGATACAGTAGTGGCCAAAATTGTGGAAACCTTTTGGGAAAAGTGTATTTTTGAGGTTTGATGGCTAATAACACCACTTTTTGTTTGGAGTAGTACCATAAAATTATATATCAATGGAAAGATAATTTAATCAAGAATGTAATGCAACATAGTTTGTTCAATTGTCTGTACTGTATTCTATGGAAAGTATAGCCAAATAACCAGAAAAAGGAAGCACAACTTGCTTAGGTTGATATCAGGTAGCTTTCCTTCATCTGATTGTAGCCAATGAGCATGAGTGTTTAGAGAGCCAATCAGGTGTCATCTTGTTTTGGCAATGAGCCAATCAGATCACAGTAGGATTCAGTTATTGATGTCCTGTATTGAAGCTGAGAGGAGGACATTTTTCAGGGTGTTATGTGATCGCTATGAAGTTGGTTGAGTTTTTTTGTGTTCTTTCATTTAATGAGCTTGTAAAATGTAATAAAATTAAAGTCATGGTGCAAAGAGTTGACTGATCGCCCAGAAAGCGATATAAAATATTATGAAGTGAACAAGGCTACAGTTATAAAGAAATTAGAAGAGAAATTGGTGGAAACTTAAGCAAAGGTGGCATTTCTACTGTACACTTTTCTCAAAAGGTTTCCACAATTTTGGCCTATACTGTAAGATAGATAGATAGATAGATAGATAGATAGATAGATAGATAGATAGATAGATAGATAGATAGATAGATAGATAGATAGATAGATAGATAGATAGATAGAAACAGATAATCGATTTACTTAGGAAATGCTGACCTTATGCATACAATGTTCTAGTTTTGTAAGTTACAGCTTATAAGTCATCACAATGTGAACAGTAAGCTTGGTTTAGTCAGAAAATCACAATTCAAAGAACGAACTGTGCTACAGGCTCAGCCAGGCTTAGAAACCATTGCTGTGTCTGACAACTTTGTCTTTGGATGATTTATGACATGGGTTTCAACCTCCCGAAAGAAATGCCCTTTTCTTTCTTTCTTTCTTTCTTTCTTTCTTTCTTTCTTTCTTTCTTTCTTTCTTTCTTTCTTTCTTTCTTTCTTTCTTTCTTTCTTTTCCTTCTAGTGCAACATCTCAACTCTGATGGAGCAGCTTCCTCCACAAAGGTTTTTCACCTGCTCCTCTGCAGACACAGCGCCGATCTGTGGAACATCGGCATCAGCTTGTTCATCCAGGACGGCCCTTTCCTGGTGGTACGCTTGATCCTGATGGGCTATTTTCAAGTTGTGAACCAGATGCTGGTGTTTTTTGCCGCCAAGAATATCCTGATCGTGATGTTGCAGTTGTATCGCCTCGTGGTGCTGTTGCTCGACTTCCATGCCTCCCTCCAGCGCAGGGCAAACAGCCAGAAAGGAGCCACTTCCGGTTGCCCCTGTGAGTCCAGCTCCATTAGCCTCCCATCCAATGGCCTGCTGGATGGAGGGGACTCTTCTGCGTTGGAGGAGACCATCCCAGACTCAGTTGAGTGCCTGTGAGGGAAGGTCTCTTCTGCATCAGGACCAGCCCTTCCTCCCAGGGCCCAATGTTCGAATGGGCTGGCCTCAGCAAGCAGCCTGTTTTCCTACTGTGAGACAGAGGTCCCATCCTAACAGCAAAGGGGAGATATTTGAGACAGTGTTCTGTCCCCGTCCGACCCACACACCCAAACAGCCAGCCGAGGGTTAAAGACTTCTCCAGACACCACTTCACNCAGCAGCTCCGTAGCTGCCTGCCAAGACCTTTTACTCCAAGCACACAGAAACAAAAAACAATACACACAGTTTAAAGCCACAGCAAACTACTTTGCCAGAGATTCAGCTTTTGTCCGTCACAGAGGTCCAAATGGCCACCACCTCCCTTTTATAGCCTGTGGGGTGTGGTCCAGTGACTCAGCTTAATCTCTGGCACGTCTCCTTTTCTGCTGTGCACACTTGTTGCTCCTACGCTGGCGTGGATCCAGCCACAACTTCTCTTCCTCACTATCTGAAACACCTGGCTCCTGGCCAATCTCAGAAACACCTGGCTCCTGGTCAATCTCTTCTCCGTTGGGAGACACCTGAGGCCTTGCCAAAGAGGAAGGTCCTGGAGAGGGAGGCCTGGCCATCTCCTCTCCTTCATGTTCGGAGCCTTCTTCCTCCGATAAGAGGGGCTCACAAGACGGAGCCACAACAGACAGGAGAAAACAAAATCCATTCTATCAATTGGGTGGATTGATCGATGCGGTATCCATGGTATTTATCCACTGTATATCTGATGGGACTCAGCTGAGGCTGTTTTCTGGTTGGACCTTTTTTTCATCTTTTTTTTAATGTGTGACATTTGTGGACTCCATGATTGCCTTCAGAGCCCTGCAACAGCAGAATCTTTACCTGAAATTCAGGTCTACGTCTGGGGCATCGTGCAGGTCCCCTTGATCTGGTCTGAGATCATGTTGACGACGATACGGAAGTTCAAATAAATGGGGAGAGCATTTCGCTGCTTCCTGTCTGTCATGGACACATTATGTATTCAGTGAATGCGACAATGGCTAGTTTTACAGTAGCCTTTTTCTAGTATAGGTTGAGGATGGCATGGCTTGCCATAGCAGGATTTCAGAGTCTTATGTGATGCTACAGTATGTTCAAGTGTTGTTGGTTGCGAAGTCGTGTCTGACCCATCGCAACCCCATGGACAACGTTCCTCCAGGCCTTCCTGTCCTCTACCATCTTCTGGAGTCCATTGAAGCTCACGCCTACTGCTTCAGTGACTCCATCCAGCCACCTCATTCTCTGTCGTCCCATTCTTCTATTGCCCTCAATCTTTCCCAGCATTAGGCTCTTCTCCGGTGAGTCCTTCCTTCTCATTAGGTGGCCAAAGTACTTGAGTTTCAACTTCAGGATCTGGCCTTCTAAAGAGCAGTCAGGGTTGATCTCCTCTAGGACTGACCGGTTTGATTGCCTTGCAGTCCAGGGGACTCGCAGGAGTCTTCTCCAGCACCAGAGTTCAAAGGCCTCAATTATTTGGTGCTCAGCCTGTCTTATGATCCAACTTTCACAGCCATAGATTGCAACTGGGAAAACCATGGCCTTGACTATATGCACCTTTGTTGGCAGGGTGATGTCTCTGCTTTTTAGTATGCTGTCTAGATTTGCCATAGCTTTCCTCCCCAGGAGCAAGCATCTTTTAATTTCTTGGCTGCAGTCCCCATCTGCGGTGATCTTGGAGCCCAGGAAGATAAAATCCAAAAGGTTGGGGGACCGGTTATGTGGAAAGAGGTTTTTCCACAAATCAGAAGGGGCGTGGTTTTGTGTGCTGCCTGCATCCCTCGGATGGGGCTTTGCTGCTTTGTGTGGCCCGGTTGCTGGCATGCTGTGGCCCAGTACCGATCCATGGACCGGAGGTTGGGGACCTCTTTTCTAGTGATTACAGGCCATTTTCCTCCTGGTTCTACTTTATCTTACACCAGCATCGACTTTCCCAGCTCACCCACGTCTGCCCTGTTTACATTACAGTAGTGGCCAAAATTGTGGAAACCTTTTGGGAAAAGTGTATTTTTGAGGTTTGATGGCTAATAACACCACTTTTTGGGGGGGAGTAGTACCATAAAAGTATATATCAATGGAAAGATAATTTAATCAATAATGTAATGCAACATAAGTTTGTTCAATTATCTGTACTGTATTCTATGAAAAGGTAACCAGAAAAAGGAAGCACAACTTGCTTAGGTTGATATCAGGTAGCTTTCCTTCATCTGATTGTAGCCAATGAGTGTGTTTAGAGAGCCAATCAGGTGTCAGCTTGTTTTGACAATGAGCCAATCAGATCACAGTAGGATTCAGTTATCGATGTCCTGTATTGAAGCTGAGAGGAGGACATTTGTCAGGGTGTTATGTGATCACTATCCAGTTGGTTAGGTTTTTTTGTGTTCTTTCGTTGAGTCAGCTTGTAAAACGTAATAAAATTAAAGTCATGGTGCAAAGAGTTGACTGGTTGCCCAGAGAGCCATGCAAAATAGTATTATGAAGTGAACAAGGCTACAGTTATAAAGAAATTAGAAGAAAAATGGGTGGAAACTTAACCAAAGGTGGCATTTCTACTGTACACTTTTCCCAAAAGCTTTCCACAATTTGGGCCACTACTGTACCTCTTTTCCACAAAGCAGTGGGTCTCCTTCCAGTGATCCAGGCAACCTTGGATTTTTCTGGGGGACCGAAGACCAGGTGGGCGGGTTCTGTCTCAGGAGAGCTCCTTTAAAAGGACATGATCTACTCATGTTCTCCCAGCCAACATGTTGCCGTCAGGAATAAATACTGAGGAAAGCTCTGATGGAAACACAACCGAATCATCTCTCAATTCTCCAGCGTTGCCTGAATTTTGTCTTTCACCTAAGCAATAACACTGCCAGGACGATGTCTGTTTGGAATAGTTTCAGTCCTTGAAACGAAAGGTTGTATTTGCGTATCAAAGGCCGGCATGTGCAGAATAACTTTTTTTTTATTATTTGCCGTGAAAGAGGCGTTCAAAGTCTTGTTATTGCTGAATTCAGTTTTGATCCGGCATATGCGGCTATTTCTTCTCTTTTCTTTCTGAATGTCGGTATCTTTTGTTACTGTAAGCAGAATTCTTAATGTAAAGAGAGGAGATGTTTTAATAAACCAAGAGATTTGTATTTGCTTGGGCAATGTTAATCTGGCTGTGTCTTTGTTGATCTTTAAGAGAAGAGGAGAGAATTTCTCTTGACCTCTGAACTCGGTGGCGCCATTCTCCTCCTCCTCTTCCTCCTCCTCCTCCTCCTCCTCCTCCATTTTCAGCAGTTGGGGCCCCAGCAACCGACCCAAGTCTTGCATTCACAGGTAGCTTCCAGAGTGCTGTGTTAATGTCATTCATGATGTGCACCAATTACGCCCTTCCTCTTAGCCACTCATGCCCTGGTCGTATGGACTACTGCAATGTGCTTTGCATGGGGCTACCCTTTAGAAGTTTCTGGAAGCTGCACCTGGTGCAGAAGACTTGGATAAGTGGGACACATCCCCCTCCAGGGTTTCCTGGAGGAGGACAGCTCCAGGTCCTGAAGGCAGGAAGAGGTGACATGGACACTGCAACAAATGCTGTGGCAGCATCTCCCACCCTCATGGGGTGCTGGGGGAGGGGGCAACCAGATCCATAAAACCATTGAATCCAGGTCAGCCTGCAGAATCTTTCCAGGGAACGTGATTAAAGATGGCAGTTCAAACCCATGGCCTGGGCCCTCCTTTTAGTGCCGAGTGAGGAACATGCAATCAACAACAGAACAACGTTTTTTTTGAAGAAACACACAAAAGGGGCTTCTAAACTTCGGCTTGTTTTACGGACTCATCAAATTTAAAACCAGAAGACAGAATTGTCCCTATATCTGGAGAGAACAGGCAGAGGAAAGAGGATGGCCTGGAGGACAGCCTTTGGCCATTTGCCAGAAATGACTCTGAGGTGAATTTTTATCTACCTAGTCAGTAAGAAATGAGTCGTTACTATGGCAATTCTGACATTGCGAGTGTCAATGTTGCAGTGCAGTGCATCAATCAAAGGCAGCTCTGCTCTCCACATGTGAGGTACTGCTGCGTAGGTGCAACAGTGATGGGGGATTATGGGAAGACAGGCCAAGGATAGGGTGATAAAGTCCAATGGGAGGGCTTCACAGGATTTTCTCAGGCCAGGCATGGTTTAATAAGTGAGCCATTTTGTTAATACGTTGGGGTGTGATTGTTGAAATGGCCCCAGTTGTGTTTTGTGCTCGCTGGCAATAGCCCCCAAGTTTCCCCAAATTAGCCCCTGAGTGTCCATCTTCACAACAGAGGAGATCACAATCCCGTTGGCCAAAATAGACTGCCAGATTTCGTGACCGCTGAACTGCGGGCTGACACTGTGAACTGACCCAAGTTCTGGTTTGTTTTGATTAATCTTACAAAATGTGGGGGCTGCCTGACTCCAGAAGCTCGCGCTTAAAATAGAAAGCAATGAAAAGGAAATTCCACGTCTCTGGATATACACGCTCCCTACAACAGAAAACACAACCAACGGGACTTCTCCACAAGCATCCTGCCCCTCCACATTGGGAGGAGAGCTTTGATCTGGAAGACTTCCGGAACATCATCAGGCTGGGAGCCATGCAGAAGAAACAATTGAATTGTGCTATTTCTGTTCTTGGCTGGGTTGTGGTTGGATTGGATGCTGTAAGTTGCATGCAGTAAACTTCCATAGTCACCTCTGATTCAACTGATGCAGGAATAATAACAATAATATAATAATAAAGTTGGAAGGGACCCTGGAGATCATCTAGTTCAACCCCTTGCTCAGGCAGGAAACCCTATACCATTTCGGACAAATGGCCGTCCAGTCTCTTCTTAAAAACTTCCAGTGTTGGAGCATTCACCGCTTCTGGAGGCAGGTTGTTCCACTGGTTAATTGTTCTAACTGTCAGGACGTTTCTCCTTAGTTCTTGGTTGCTTCTCTCCTTGATCAGTTTCCGTCCATTGCTTCT